AGGACTCACAGCTCTAAAGGGCGTCACAAAGCCCTGTCTACATGTGCCTCTCATGTCACTGTTGTCTTCTTATTCTTTGTACCCTGTTCATTTCCTGTACCTGAGACCTTTAACCTCCTTCCCCATTGACAAAGCCGTGGCTGTGTTTTGCACCATAGTAACTCCCATGTTGAACCCTTTAATCTACACCCTCAGAAATGCAGAAGTGAAAAATGTCATGAAAAAGTTCTGGGAGCAAATAATGAATACTGATAATGAATAAACCTTGTGATTGGAATATTTAAGCCCAAAAAAAATCTTGTGATATTCTGTAGATATTTATTCCCTTTCTTAGTTGATTAAACTTGGGACAGTCAATTATCCTGTTTGAACCATTTTTCCTCAGGAGCCCACATGTTGTGGGCAGGGCTGACATATCTGTTAAGGCATCGTCAGCACAAAGCTTAGAGCCCAAAATAGTGATGCTGACATGTCTCATGCTCTTGGGACTTTTGTCAGGTTAGATATCACTATATATGAAGGCCTTTGAAAAATAGATGCTCTGCCATAATTTCTTATGAGTAGCCATCTTGTAAATATATGCAAGCAATTGTATGTTTAAAAAATCAAATTTAACAATCTAATTGTAGTTCCCAAGAAAGACAGAATGAAATAGGATAATGTAAAAATAAAGATGATGATGATATAATGATGATTGCTAATGTTTGCTGAGTACGTTCTGTGAATAAAATCATGACCTAAGTACTTATTTTGTATGTTTTGAGGCAGAAAGTTTCTGATCTTAATTTCTTTCTGTCCTTAATTCATTTGTAAGTTAGTTGGGCCATTGTTAATCATGATTCTGACAACCAAAAACAAGGGCAAAAAAAATGTTTGTAATAAAAATAAAAAATACACACACACTCTCACACACACACACACACACAAAGTACAATGGGATCAGTCCTTTATGCTATCTGAGGTTGTGACTGTACTGAAAATAAAGGCACTTTTCAAATTTCAACTAAAGTAAATATGCTTTTCTAGAAAGTCCCACAATAAAATTCTGTCAAGCTGGCAAAAATGCTATTTTTAAGCAAGCCTCATCGTGATCTCATATTTCTAAGCTGAGAGAAAAATTAGCTTAGTTATATTTTTACTATCTAACAGCAAAAATGAATAGGTATAGAATTAAAGGTCTCATTTATATGTAGTGATTATTAATTAGACTTAAGCATGTGACAAAGTGAAAGAAGACAATATTTATTTTGCCCAAGAACTCAGCAACAGTTGTTTTTGTTAGATATAGAATTCGGGGATCAAACCATTATTTCCTGATGATCTCCTGAATTTATTGACTATTGAAGACTAATTTTTAGTACTTCCAGTTTTTTCCATAGTGAAAAAGTGGATATGATGGTGAGTTACAAATCATCTGTCAAACAAAATATAAGTTTATTACAAATTATGGGAGCCTACAGTCTTAAAGGGTGAAGCCTGGGAAGGGATATAGTCAGAGTTTGTAAAAGTAGGAAAAGAATGGGATGAACATGAATGGATGTTTCAGATTCCAGGATACTAGAATCCCTTGGAGTTTTAAACATAAAGAGGAAGAATGAAAGTCCACTTTGCATCATTGGCGAAAACATAAACCATTCTGTTCTTAGCACAGCATATTTGAAACTTAGTAGAGATGGAAAAGCAAAAGAAAACAACACTTGATTAATCAATTAACCTCATGGAAGATTCGGAGAAAGTTGAGGGACATCTAATAATCTCAGGTAAAATGTGTTGGGGTGTAGGTGCCAGAAATCTGATTAGGAACTTTACATAGATTATCTAATTTAATTCTTACAATAACACTTTAGACATTATTATCTTTATTTATTTTAAAGACAAGCTTCAGACACTACAGAGGTTTGGTCACTTGCTTAAGGTCATGCCATTTCCTTATACATAGGAAATAAGAATCAGACGCAGGTTGACTTTGCTGCAGAGCCAAGATCTTGCCCTCTCTGCGGCAGGGTAGCAGCCTGCTGATGTTACAAAAGGTGGAAAAAGAAATGGAAGCCAGACCTAGATGCACACAGACTCCTATATGTAGTGACGTGAGAAGTTTTTTGCCTTAAGTTGTATTTTGCTCACATTTATATGGCACAATTATTGCACAAAGTCAAATGATATTAACACGGATTGCTATTGAAAGATCTGGATGATGAATCACAAATAGCAAAAAAGGTTGTGGTTTGCTCCACTCACAGCAATAAAATCATTTCTATTTCCTGCCTTGCCACTCATGATCCACTGCAATTTTTTACTATGTGAAGAGCTTTTTCATGGCACTTTTTACCTCGTCATTTCTCAGGGTATAAATGAGTGGATTCAACATAGGTGTCAGAATACCATAAAACACTGCCATGTTTTTGTCTATCGGTAAGGTAAATGAAGGACGCACATAAGTAAAAACACAGGGCACAAAGAACAGCGCTACAACAGTGAAGTGGGCCCCACAGGTGGAGAGGGCCTTGTGTCTCCCCTCTGCACTGTGGGACCTCAAGGAGCACAGGATGACAATATAGGAGGCGGCCAGCATGAGGAAATTCACCAGGCAGATCGCACCACTGTTGGCAACCACCAGCAGACTGGTGACGTATGTGTTAGTGCAGGCAAGTTCCAGCAAAGGGTACAAGTCACAGACAAAGTGATTAATTATGTTGGGCCCACAGAAGGGCAACTGAAGGACCAGGAGGAGCTGAACCAATTATTGCACAAAGTCAAATGATATTAACACGGATTGCTATTGAAAGATCTGGATGATGAATCACAAATAGCAGATTTTGAGTTTAGGCACGCCAAAGCTAGAGACACTTGACTAATCAATTAACCCCAACAGGGGACATTTTTTCTAATTTCTGAAACAAGGATAATAATCATTCATGCCCTATATATTTCATATAGTCATTTTGTAATCAAAGTATTCAGTTCAAGTGAAAGAGTAAGTAAACCATAGAAGTGTAGGATGATGCATGGATGGATAAGATTAAATAAGTTGATATGCGGTAACAAAAAAGTTTTGGTTTGCTCCACTCACAGCAATAAAATCATTTCTAGGAAGCCCCCAAGCCAGGCCACTCCCACCAGCAGGGCACAGAGATGCCTGGTCATGATAACTGGGTAGTGCAGGGGCTTGCAGATGGCCATGTAACGATCATAGGCCATCACCGTGAGCAGAATGATCTCAGTACCTCCAAAAAAATGGGCTCCAAAGAGCTGAGCCATGCAACCCTCATAAGAGATGGTTCTTCCCTCATACAAGGAGTCAGCGATGAGTTTAGGGGCCATTGAAGAAGAATAGCAGGTGTCTATAAAGGACAGGTTGGCCAAGAAAAAATACATGGGGGAATTCAGGGTGGGGCTGGAGGTGATAGTGACCACAATGAGCATGTTGCCACAAACTGTGACCACATAAGTGACCAAGAAGACCACAAAAAGAACTCTCTGTATTCTGTGACAGTCCCAGCAAGAAAAATTCTGTGATATTGTTTGATATTTCCATAGTCCAAGGACACAGAGAATGCAGGTACAGTATTGCCTATAAATGAACAGAGAAACATAATCATAGCATTGCTAATTCCAGAAGGAAATATTGCAAGGTTTCTTTTATCTACACCTACTTCCCTTTGCCCCTTTTAACACTTTCTGTTTCAAAATTCTTATACCAATTTAGTATGGTAATTACAAAATGTCTGCATATGTCTATCTGCTAACTTCAGTATCAGTGGGTAACAAATATCTAAGTTATTACATGTAATTAGCCATATTTTAGTTTCTTTTGTTACTACTGAAATTGAACTTTTGGCAGATACTGGTGTTCCAATTCAATGAGAGTCCCTCTCTGACCATTTTCAGCAAGTCTCCACCTAGACACAATGGCACTTGAGAAAACCATGAACACTCCAAATCTCCTGAAACTTCT